CCTGCTGGTAGTTACTGTAGATGCGCAGGTACTGCTCGAGCGTCTGGTTCATCCGTTCGGTCTGACCGTCTCCTTCCGGATGATAACCGGAGGTGAAGTGGAGGCGGATGTCGAGGGCCTTACCAAGTGAACGGAAAAAATGGGAGACAAACTCCGGACCCCTGTCGGAGGTGACGTGGGATGGAACTCCGTGCTTGGAGAACACATGGAGGAGGAAGAGCTTGGCCAGTTCCGGAGAGGTGATGGTATCGTGGGTAGGGATGAAAATGCACTGTTTGGACAGGCAGTCCATGACGACCAAGATGGAAGTGAATCCGGAAGAGGAGGGTAGCTGTTCAATGAAATCCATGGAGATGGAGTTCCAAGGACATTTGGGGATGGGGAGTTGTTTGAGTAAGCCGTAAGGCTTATGACAGGGGACCTTGGCACGGGCACATGAAGTGCAGGAGGATACGTAACTCTTGATGAAGTTACGGATGCCCAGCCAGGTATACTCATGACATACTAGATCCAGAGTCCGGTTTTGCCTGAAGTGTCCGGAAAGTTGGTGGTCGTGTTTGTCTTGCAAAACATGGAGATGGAGATTGTTAGAATCTGGCACGTAAATGCGATTGTCCAGCCTTAAGAGGCCTTCGGCATCAACGGACCAGCGAGAATTGGGGAGGTTGGGGGAAGCGAGATGAGAAGAGATTGTGGTGTCGGAGGAGAGGGAGGTTAGGATGTCTCGATGAAGAGCCTCTGTGTCGACGAGTACGGCTGCTCGGATTACTGTGGCAGCTAGGAACGTAGCTCGTAAGGATGCAGTGAGCTGCTCCGAAGTGAAGACCAGTCGGAAGTTCTGTGGATTGACGTGAGCGTAGTCCATATCCCCTTCTTTGGGGTAGACGTCCCAGCGTCTAGTCAACGCATCTGGTTTAACTCCGAGTCTTCCAGGACGGAATCGGACAGTCATGTGGAATTGGGAGAGGAACTCTGACCAGCGGGCTTGCCACCGGGTCAAGAGTTTGGTGGTGGAGAAATACTCGAGGTTCTTGTGGTCGGTGACGACGTCGATTGGGGTTCCTGAACCTTCGAGGTAATGACGCCATGATCGGAACGCATCATGAATGGCGAGCAGTTCCTTGTCATGGGTGTCGTAATTGAGCTCCAGCGCCGAGAGTGTTCTAGAGCGGAAAGTGACAGGGTGAATCTCTCCGTCATCACAGCGGATGGAAAGGATTCCGGAGATCGCATAATCGGAGGCGTCGGTTTCTACAATGAGGGGGGCGTCGGGTAGCCAATGTGTGAGGATAGGAGCGCAAGTGAAGGCTTCTTTCAAGGTGTTGAAAGCAGAGCGACAATCGTCAGAGAATAGCCAGGGGGCTCCTTTACGCGTGAGGCGCATCAAGGGGACCACAATGTCGGAGTATTGGTGGATGAAATGCCGATAGAAGTTAGCGAAGCCAAGGAAGGATTGGACGTCCTTGACTTTATGGGGCTCGGGCCAATCTTGGACGGCTTTGACCTTCTTGATGGACATGGTGAGTCCGGAAGGAGAGAGGCAGTAACCGAGATATTCCGTAGTGTCCGTATGAAACTCGCATTTCTTCAGATTGGCGTATAGGCCGTGTTTGCGGAGTCTCCTAAGAACTTCTCGGACATGCTCCTGATGTGAAGCCATGTCTTCCGAGTAGGTAAGGATGTCGTCTAGATAGACTACCACAGAAACGTCCAAGAGGTTGGCAAAGATCGTGTTGACGAATCGCTGGAAAGCCGCAGGTGCATTTGTGAGACTGAATGGCATGACAAGCCACTCATAGGAACCATAGCGCGTGCGGAAAGAGGTCTTCCATTCGTCGCCTGCTGCAATGCAAACCAGGTGGTAAGCATGCCGGAGGTCGAGTCTGGTGTAGACCATGGCACGGCTAGGTGCATCAAGGAGGTCGGAGATGCAGGGAAGTGGGTAGCGATCCTTTTTGGTGATCTTGTTCAGCCCTCGGAAGTCGATGCAAAGATGGAGGGATCCATCCTTCTTGCGAACGAAGAGGACCGGTGCTGCGTGAGCGGAAGTAGCGGGGCGAATGAACCCAGAGGCCAGGTGTTCATCTAAGAACACCCGGAGGGCCTCAAGTTCCGAAGTAGAGAGAGAGTACATAGTACCCAAGGGTGGGGAAGTGCCTTCCTCAAGGTCGATCTTTAGGTCATGCTCACGGTGTGGTGCCAGCGTCGAGGCTTTGCTCTTACTGAACACATCCGCGAACTCGTGATACTCTTTCGGAATGGCCGAGAGGTCGACGGAATCGGTGTGGGATGAGGCAGCCCTCAAGCGGCTTTCCTCGGAAGGGATGGTTAGGCTGAAGGATACCGATCCTTCGAGTTGGCAAGCCTTCGCGAATGCGGAATGGCTGACGAACTCGATAGATGGTAACGGAGGAGTAACAGCCTGTGACTGAGGTGCTGGCGAAACATCAGATGGTTGGATGTCGGACGACGGCAGTGGTGCTGGAGACGATGGGGGAGAGCTCGGAGTAACTGTCTTGGTAGGTTCGGAAGTTCGGAATGTAATACTGCTTGAGACCCAGTCAATCAACAGATTGTAGTGGGTAAGCCAGTTGTGTCCTAGGACTAGGGAACATGATCCATCCAGCGATGTGACAAAGAAAGTTGTGGGGGTGATGTTTCCGGAAGCGAAGCGGAGGGGAATATCAACGGCACGGGTTATGATTGAGTTGGTGCTACCGTTGAATAGGCGTGGTTGTAAAGGTTTAATCTGGTATGTCTTCAAGGCCAACTTTTTTACGAATGTGTCGTCGATGAAGCAGTCTGAAGACCCAGAATCTACGAGTGCAGGTACGTTCTCATAGGAGCGGAAAAGTTTATTTTGTGTCCTATTATTGGACAGAGGAGAAATAGGAGGAGAGAAAGAAGAGAAGCGGAGAGAGGTGGATCGATCTACGGAAGTAGTCGGAGGGGGCGGAGGAGAGAGTGATACATCAACAACACTATCTACAACAGGTAGAACATTAACCGAAGGGTCAACATTGAGAGGAGAAAATAGACTATTTGAAAGAGAAAAGGAAACGGGAATGTGGAGGGAGGATAAGTCGGAAATGGAAGACGCGTTTAAACGCACCTCTTTGAGTGCACGGAAGGAAGGATCGCAACCCCCGGTCCATGCGGAGTCCACGGGGGTGCGGACTAATTTTTTGCTTCTGTGGAAGCGGATCCTTGCTCCTTGGTCTGGGCCGAACGGGCCTTAGACGCACGAGAAGAGGACTTGGGACAGTCCTTGACCATGTGGCCAGACTGACCGCAGAACATACAAAGTTTCTCGTCGAGACGACGCTTACGCTCTTGTGGCATGAGCTTGCTGTTGTCTCTGAGTTTAGATGAGAGGTCCGGTTTAGCGGAGCTGGCCTCGGACTTTTTATTGTCCTTCGGAAGCCTACTCCCGGAAGCGGAGTTGAAAGAGGAGGAGGAAGGGACGGGGTCGGAACGAGAAGTGGCGGTGGACTTGTCGAAAACGTTAGAGGAAGAGGGTTTTGCGTGACGTGTAACTTCCGATTTACGCTCCCAATAGCGCGCATCGAGAGTTTGGGACAGGGTGCGAGTTCAGAGAGAGTAGAGGGTTTACCTACTCTGGCAATGTCGTCCTTAATACGTTCCGGCAATCCGTTATAGAAAAAACGACGAAGCGTGGCTTCTCCATAACCGTGAAGTTGAGAGGCGTGTCGGTTGAACTCGATGATGTATTTATTGATGTGGTGCCCATCCTTCATGTCCAGGGTCATCAGTTGAACCTCGGCGTCGCCCACAGGATCGTGAGGGCTGAAGTTAGTTTGAAGTTCATTAACGAACTCTTGATAGTCATTCATCCATCGCGGACGAAGCGTGGAATTCTGGTCGAATAACAGATCCGGCTCGAACCAATCGAGGGCCATTCCCTTGAGGTAGGACTGCGCAAATATGACTTTAGCACGGTCGCTAGCAAAAGCGAGGGGACGGTCCTGGAAATTGAGCTCGCATTGGACCAAAATACTCGGAGTTCTCGGGGATCCTTCCCATCGAACTGTTCGGGTTCGCAGACCTTGGTCCGGAGGGCAGAAGATCGTCGTTGTCGTCGTTGTCGTCCGGTGTGACGAGCCAGACTGGCAATGGCTTGGGCCAATTGTGCAATAGCCACGTTGGAGGTGGGTTCGGCATCGTCAGTGGTTGGGACAGTGGGGATGGGAGGATCAGCAGGAGGAGGATTGACGAAGTCGGGGACCTCGGAACCGAGTCCAAAGAAGTGGACAGGGTCTATGGGTTGTTCCGTGGTGTCTCCGAAGTCGGAGTCTGCAGCTGGTGATCGATTCCTAATGGGGCGCATGATCGGAGTCAATGGGAGAGGGGTTTCAAGGTTAGAGAAGCTTCGAAACTCAACTGGGTTTCTCGCCAATCGACTAGGACCAGGCTGAGAGGGTTCTGGGGAAGGTGAGGCAGAGTTGGGGACTAATGTGTGTAGTTGTGAACGAGTGCGAAGGACTTTTGGTGCCATACAAGACGTGTACTAGTCAGGGAGTAATAAAATACTGTCAGAGACCAGATTCGAGACGAGGGAGAGTCTCCGTGGCGGAGGGCTTTGGCCTCAGCGACTTATGCCAAGAGCGCTGTGCCTAGTGACACATCCGTGCCCTAACTTACTGACTGGCAATCATAACTGAAGGGGGGTAACTCTAGTCGATTTTATTACTGGAGTGTAACCTATGTACAAGTTGGATATATATATGGTTACAGCGAAGACGGGTCCGCGATTGGCAGAGCCGAACGGAGCGGAACTAACGGGGTTAAACATTAGCCGACTGAATATTACCGACGAGTCGGGTTGCAGGGTTAGCGGAAAGGCAGGCAATAACCCAGAAACAGAAAGGAGGGATAGGCCCGAAGGTGGGCTCTGCAGGGCAGGCGAGTGTATTGCCCAGCAGAGGCGGGAGTGCGCTAGCGGACGTCGGAGCTGTCCGGAAGTCTTCAGGGCTCTGTACTTAGGGAGGCATTGGTAATAAATTGAAAGGAGGGGGTGGTGACCATCGAGGGGTACCGAGAGGATTGCGGAATACGGGAGCTCCGAGGCTAGTGAGGAAGGAGCGGAGGTAGACTGGAGGGATTGGAGGGAATGGAAGTCGATGGCCGGGGATGGATATGACAGATGCATAATATACTTCAGGTGGTGGGCACTCAACAGCAGGGAAGTTGTAAACTTTGCCATTGAATTCAAATGAGTAGCCCTTGTCTGTTACAGAGAAATTTAGGCTGATTGTGTTGTCTATTCAGTTAGAGATGCTGAATACTCACCACTGCCATCAATAGTAGGTGAAAAAAATGCTGGGATGCCCAGGCTTGTAATCCCACATGCAAGTTCATTTGTGATCTCAATAGGAAGGTTGGCTGCTAACAATGCCCAAGTCACTGCAGCAGCTCCCAAAAGCTCCCCATCACTTTTTCTAAGCTCACTCTTGGTATACCTATTGTGGAACTTTGTATGACCCAATTCAATGGTATCAGGAGAATGCTTGTGTCGAGCTCCAGCACTGATTCCAAATGCATATATCTTCCCATGATGAGAGGGCTAGTGCAGCATTTCAGCAGAGAATGAGCAGATACTCAACATACATACATGCAAATTGCGGCGCTCAAGAGCATGCTCATTATTGATTTGCTGAAGATGTTCCAACAATGCCTTGCCAGTTGGTGACAAGTTTGTTGCATTGTGCAGCACAAGAAGCTCTATATCTCCAGTGCCTAGAAATAGATGTTAGTAGAAATTATATAAACATCAATTTCTCATACACTTGTTCAGGACAAGATGTGAATGCTCCCTGTCTAATATTTTCCACCCTTCCTTTTTCCCAATATATGTAACATTGGGGAACCTTGCTGGATCTGGGTGTGGTGGCATGCCTTCTGATTCATCAACAAGCCATGTAGCAGGTTTCTTTTTGATGTGAGGGAATTTGTAATCCAAAGCTGGATCAAATTCAACATAATGGACCTGTAAATCCAGCTCTTGAGCTTGTTGAATCAGGGTCTCCTTATCTATGCACCGCTTCAGGTCCAAATCCTGCACCTAGTGGGGTAGAATGCAATGCAACAGTGTGATTCTCCAGAGTAATAGGCCTTACCACCCACTGTTTCGCCCATCAGCTTGCTTGGACCTCATCTTTGAGTATCTTGACATGCTTCTGAGCAACACATAGATATTGAAATGTCTTGACACCCTTGAGTTTCTCTGGCCCATTGCGAATGACATCATCGATCTGCTGCTGTTCATACAGTCCTGCATTAGGCTTGATCAGGTGCACTGAAGACAAGAATATTACCTTCTCAACCTTGCACTCAGCAGCTAGAAGGATGAGGACTACATCCCAGGCAGCTGTAGCATCATCCCAGTTTGTTGTTTTGAACACTTGGTCGAGGGATGAGGCACATATCTCAATGCAGCTTTGCACTCCAACACAGCAGTATTCGTAAGTACTCTATCCAAGCAGTGTGCCACATACACTTTGTTGCAATATTTCGCACTTTTTTTGGCTTTGGCTCAGAAGACATTGCAGTAGAGAGTTGACAAAGTGATATCATAACACAGCCTCAAGTCACATGACAGCAGCATGAGAACATCAGCCTAACAAGAATGTGGAACTTGGTGCAACCACTTGTTCCACCATGCAGTGGAAAGCCTTATATGCAGCACATAGGCCAACAGACAAGTGACATGCTGCTGTTAAACACACAGTCAGTGTGTTGACCTGACCCAGAATGAGGGCAGAGGGAGAGGGCAGTGTAGGAGAAATAATGGGCACCCTATGAAAACGTGTTGTGAAATTATGCTGTGGAAACACCATTGACACTGTGGAACAGGAAAGGATGAGTAACAAGGAGATGTAGATTTCCTTGGAATTTTTATGACAATTACCAATGAATTTGAACATAGAAAATCAACAAAAATACTTCGAGCTTAGCATCAATAGGATGGAATGTTCAGGAGAATTCACAACCTAAACAAGAATGGAGTTATTCGGAAAAGATTTGACCAAGTACTCTTTAATGAGTATGAGTGTTGTCATATCCATCTACAGCCATCTTCCTCCACTACTATCACGGCCATGCATTCCGGCCCATTAGCTGCCCATCCCGATGCCGCCTGAGCCCATTCCCACTACATGAGCATGAGTGCGAGCCCCGACCTCAGCCCTATCCTCCATGAGGACTCCCTGCTCACTCCCCCACTTGCCCCTAGGCTCCCCTGCACCTGGCCGACTCCCCCCACAGCCACACCAACCTTCCGCCCTGAGTCCGCCTCCGCCACCATGCCCAGCACGACTCCTCTACCCTGCCCACTTGGCCCCTACAGGGCCATTACCATCCCCATGCCTGACTCCGGCCCAACTCCAAGTCCAGTGCCGCTACAATACCATCATGTCAGGGATGGCTCGAGGAAGGCAGAGGTAGCAGCGTAGCGCTCAGCGCTAGTGGCCCGGATGGTGGTGGGGCAGTGAGACTGTTTAGTGGGCAGCTGTCAGGGCACACCCACCTGACCCGGTACCCCACCATCCACCCTTCCTCACCTCCTCCCCCTTCCCCTTCTACTCTCCTCATTCCCCCTTCCTCACTTTCTTTCTACCTTACTTCTTCTTTATTCTCTCTTTATTCTACACAGATGACCTTCTTTGTATCAATGTGTCATATCCATACAATCCCGACCTCCGCTCCGGGCTCCTGGAACTCCGAACTCCGACTTCCGGAGCCCTACTTCCCTTCCATCACTTTCTCCTTGCCGACTCCCAAGAGGTTATCCCACCTCCGGCTCGGACACCACCTTCGGTCCGACTCCGGAACATTCCGGGTCCGACCCCAACCTTGACACCTTCCAGACGAGTACGCAAAACCTATGTTCCCGACTCCGGACCTCCGCTCCGGTATCCCGTTCACGTCTCGTCTCCGGAACCTCCGGTCTTAGCTCCGACCTCGGACTTTGACCCCACCTCCGCTTATACCCATTGTATTGGTTAGCTCATTCCATTTAATTACCTTTGCCAATATTCCGGAGTTTAACCTCCGAGTTCGGACTTTCCGGACTTACTCCGGACCTTGCAACTATTGCATTGTCCATTTCAATTCCGCTATTCTCCCTCATTCCTATTTGGGCTGCTGCTTCCTTCTATTCAGTCAGCTAGCCATTCCCGACTCCCATCCTCCTTCCTTCCTTCTTGGGCCTTGGCCCTTCATTCCTCCTTTGGGAAACACCATTGAGTCAAACACTTGACCCTCGGTGTTGTTCCTCTTTCCATCTCCCTTTGTCTCCTTTTGTCCTACCCTTGTTCCTTTTGATTCCGGACCCCTCCTTATATACAATGTACCTAGTAACTTGTAACCTCAGTCCGAAATCGACTTGAATTCCCCCAAGAGACTTTCCCTCTGCTAGATCCGAAATTAGGGACCCCTAGGACAACCAGCAATGGCACAGCGCTCCGCCTGAGTTGCTGAGGCCGAGGTCCTTCCATGCTAAGTCTCCGATTCCACTCCGGAGTCGTCCGAATCCCTGCGTTCTAACAGGCTTAGTTTATATACATGTGTGAATGGGTCACATGGAGGTGCCATGTCACCCTTGGACGAAGCCGGGTTACCGCGGGTGGCTCCATGGTCGATCCGGAGTGTTGGAGGGGAAATACAAGTAGGAGTGCATGGCGTGTCCGGCGTTGTGGTGCCCCTACAGGGTGCTCAGCATCGGATGCGTCTGTGCTACAAGTGTAGGAAAGAAAGAGAGGTCATCTGTATAAAGATAGAAAAGAGAAGAAGGAAAGAAGAGAGAATGAGAGGATGAGACAAAAGGAAAGGAGGTGGCGGTGGCGGCAGCGTGCCCTGACACATCGCTGCTATCGCGGCCCTACACTCCTTCCTGTTATTGTTTGTTTTGACCCTCGGTCATTGCCGGCCGCTATGTGGCCAACCCTGCTCCTTATTCATGTTTGCTTCCAGACCCTTCGGCGTTCGGCCCAGGTCCACTTCCATTCATTCTTTCTCCCTATATATATCCTGTATGATACTTTATTGTACCTTAGCTCTAATATCGATTTGACCATGACCCCCAAGTCCTGACCCCAGCAAGGCAACCCCAGTAAGTCTGAAATGAGGGCCAAGAGACAGCTAGGGGGTACAGCGCTCCTTTAGAGTCACTGAGGCCAAATGCCCAACCCTCAGGCCTTGTTCACAGCATCACAGCCATCGCGGCCTATAGCGGCCCACTAACGGTGACCTTCAGTGCCGACCCCAGACCAGTGTCTAACAACTACCTCCGGTCCTTCCGGACTACCTCTGCTCCTTCTTCACTAACCTCGGAGCCCCCATATTCTGCAATCACCTCCAACTCCCTCGATGGTCACTGTTAGAACCGGTGGATTCGGACGACTCCGGAATGGAATCGGAGACTTAGCGTGGAGGGACCTTGGCCTCAGCGACTCAGGCGGAGTGCTGTGCCATTGCTGGTTGTCCTAGGGGTCCCTAATTTCGAATCTAGCAGAGGGAAAGTCTCTTGGGGGAATTCATGTCGATTTCGGACTGAGGTTACAAGTTACTAGGTACATTGTATATAAAGAGGGGTCCGGAATCAAAAGGAACAAGGGTAGGACAAAAGGAGACAAAGGTAGATGGAAAGAGGAACAACACCGAGGGTCAAGTGTTTGACTCAATGGTGTTTCCCAAAGGAGGAATGAAGGGCCAAGACCCAAGAAGGAAGGAAGGAGGATGGGAGTCGGGAATGGCTAGCTGACTGAATAGAAAGGAAGCAGCAGCCCAAATAGGAATGAGGGAGTATAGCGGAATTGAAATGGACAATGCAATAGTTGCAAGGTCCGGAGTAAGTCCGGAAAGTCCGAACTCGGAAGTTAAACTCCGGAATATTGGCAAAGGTAATTAAATGGAATGAGCTAACCAATACAATGGGTATAAGCAGAGGTGGGGTCAAAGTCCGAGGTCGGAGCTAAGACCGGAGGTTCCGGAGACGAGATGTGAACGGGATACCGGAGCGGAGGTCCGGAGTTGGGAGCATAGGTTTGCGTACTCGTCTGGAAGGTGTCGAGGTTGGGGTCGGACCCGGAATGTTCCAGAGTCGGACCGAAGGTGGTGTCCGAGCCGGAGGTGGGATAACCTCTTGGGAGTCGGCAAGGAGAAAGTGATGGAAGGGAAGTAGGGCTCCGGAAGTCGGAGTTCGGAGTTCCAGGAGCCCGGAGCAGAGGTCGGGATTGTATGGATATGACACTTGGGATCCCCCATGGGGACTCCCAGGGACTATGGCCATATGCAGGGTGATGTGGCAAACCTCATGTGACCCAAGCTGCATGTACATAAATGTGCCTGGAGTGGGAACCAAAGAAGTAACATTCTTCTCACTATTCCCACTTGTCAGGAATCAGCAATGACCCTGGACCCTATTGTCAGGGCAATAGCCCTGAACCCTGAGCCACATGTAATTAGATACATATAGTCACGTGGGTAAGTGGGAACCTCCAGGTAACTGCTTACACACTACCGTAAAATACACACACTTGTATCACTTACGGCTCTGTGTGCTGAGCTACCCTGAGACCTCACACTTTTTTAAGTGTATGAGGTGTGTTTTACAACACAACCCACGAAAACAAATCAAACTTAGCGTCTGACTCGGTAGCGCCAATGGCGCCTAAACACACCTGCAAGGGCAAGGTCGCATCTGCAGCGACACTAAAAAGAAACGAGCAGTTTATTAAGAAACTGCAATCTCCCATCAGGGGAGATTCAAACCAACAGCTGTCATCAGATGACAACGAGGATCAACACGATCCAGCATTAGCAACCACCTCAGGGCTGGCCCCTGAAGGTTTTAGAAACTTATGTGGAGTAAGTGCGGGGCCTAATACCCCTAGAACTCCACGATATACCGATCTAACCCAAGCTGGGGAAGATCCTTCACCTCCTCACGAGGTGATTGACTTGTCCGATAAATGCATAAGTGCTGAACGATCAGCCCAAAAAGCTGATCGGATAGAGTTGCAGGAAACTCCAGGGCCCAACTATCCCCTGGAGTCCTCCCTCATGTCCCCAAGTCAAGCCCCAACGGCAGACAAAGGGAAACAAAGAGAAGAACCCCCATGTTGGCTATCCGAAAAACTACTGGACTTGTTCCAGGTTCCGTCCGAATGGAGGACGGAAAGCGAAGACCAACTTCTTCTCAGGCTGAAAGCTCGAGAAGGTGCGAAAAAATGCCCTGAGAGCAGGATCTCCCAGAGCGCGGAAGCTCCAAAGGAACTTCCGCTGTTTACACTCCCCCATGCCATGCCAGACAAGGCAAGGTTGCCAACCTCGGAGGAGGTCTCCAAGATAATGAAGAGGAGGCGATCTGAAATGAGGGAGTTTGCTGAGGAAGCCTTATGAAAAACCAGCAAACAGACCCCTCTATGAAAGGGAAGCACCCTCCGCAACAGCCTCACCTAAACAAAGCGAGCGTGGAGTGTTCACTCCAAGAACCCCTTCTGGAACCCCCAGAAGCGGAAATGTCAACTGGGGAGAGTCACTGC